TACATTACACCTGGGCCGGATTGTCAGAGAAAAAAGGGAAGGCCACAGGATACTCAGCCTCTTTTGACGTGGTTCCCGTGTGGGCAACACCTGCCCGCTAACCCACACGCCCACAAGCAATCCTGTGACCTCTCTTGCCCCCTTGCCCCAAACCTGCTTTAGTCACAAAGTCTCACAACACGACCGTGTGTGTGTGTGCGTGCGGGGTGAGATTACACAACGCCGGGCCCAGCCCGATGGCAACCGAGCATCAGACTTCAGGACGCAAGTACGATGGCCCGGGGCGGACGCCGGGATGGCGCAACGGATGTTGTTTTTTTGCCGTTTCTGTATCGCCGTGTTCTCTACTGCACGCCTTGAGGGATGAGCTCCCCCGTCGTGTTTCTGCACGCGGTTTCGTGACTTTAAGTCTCAGGTGCGGACCGAGACATAACGGTCACGGTTTGGGAGAGGTCTGCGGGTCAAGCAGTCAAAAGGAGAGAATATTTGAAGTGCAGGGTTGAACTGTGGGGATGGGGTCCTTGGTGGTCTCTGAGATTGGTTGCTTCCCTGCAGTTGTTTCATGACCCAACTAGGTAACATCATCAGTACGAGGAGGAGGAAGAGGAGGAGGAAGACAACAACTGTGGGAAGGTTGGTACTCTCTGACCTTAGTGGTTTCTTGCAGACATTTCATGACCCAACTAGGTAACATCATCAGTACTAGAAGGGAGGAGGACACCGAAGACAACTATTACGGTGGGGTCTTCAGTGTTCCCGGAGTTTGTTTGTTTCTTGCAGACATTTCCCGACCCAACTAGGTGACAGCATCAGTGCTAGAAGGGCGTGCAGTTCGCTTGGGGAGTTTCCAAACTCCACACTCACTAGCACTGATGATGTTCTCTAGTTGGGTCATGGAAATGTCCGCAAGATGAAACAACTAGGGTCAAGCACCGCCAAGGACCTCAAGTATGTCAAGACGCTGGCCGCCACAATCCATATTATGTTTTGATGTGCGTCAGACACACAGACTGGGGTAACGCCCCGCCCCCACGTTCCCGTCCTCACAGCTTTGGCCTCAGTTGGTCTCTAAAAGGAGACCTTCCGCGGGGAAAACGAGGCATAGCGGATGGCATCTCCGGCCTGGCGAGGATAAAGGCTGCCCTGTTGCCCCCAGACAATGAACACAGCACAGCCTCGTGGCGTAAGCATCCCTGCCGAGCCACCCACGAGGGCAAGGGAGATCCTGTGTCTTTGTGTGTGTCTTTGTGTGTGTGCACGCACGAAACGTGGAGCCGCGCAAGAGCCACAAGAACACACACATACCCCGTGTAAATCCCGACGGAAATCGGCCTGCTGGGTTCTCTCCAGGCTACCCAAGCAGAACTCGCCCGCCACGCACTGATGTTTTGCGTGTGCGGGAACCCAGGCCCCAAATATAGGCAAGTCCTTGACTTACAACCACAATGGAAGCGCCACCAAGCGCCTGTTGCTAAGCGAAACCTCCATGAAGCGAATTTTGTCCTGTTTTTAGAAGCCTTCCTTGCCACCGTTGTTTAAGTGAATCACTGCAGTCGTTAAAAGTTAGGGAGATGGTTGTTCAGGGCGTCTGGCTTCGCTTGTCGCAAAAAAGGGAAATTGCGCGATCCTGGGGCACGATGGCCGTCATAAACACGAGTTGGTTGTCCAACGTTTTTTGATCGTGCGACCACGGGCCTGCTGCCAAGGGCATAAGTGCGAACCACTTTCCCAAGTCACCTTTTTTTTTTCATCGTGCCGTTGTAAACTTCCAACGGTCAGTAAACGAATTGGTCGTAAGTCAAGGACTTGTTTTTCTTTAAAAAAAAAAATCAAATCACGCGCTCGGGAGCTTGGGACGGATATAATCAAGTAGCCAGCCAGAAGCATCCCACATCCATTGGGGGGGGGGGGAGTTTTAAGACCTTTTAAGAAGAGACCATACGGGGG